AGTTTTTTGCAAATAAAGACAGGTCTTTCTATGAATGAGGAATTATGAAGCTCACTGAAAGATGGCAAAAGGTTATCGAACAAAATGGGCAATATGTCATTGATTGCTTTTTGCTCTTTACACAAATAAATAACCTTTGAAAAACATAGACAAAATATGTCATGACTTTTCCGACAACCCAATGCTGTATGACTCTATTATATCAAGTTAAAGGGCAGGCAAAAGGAGCCTATAATGATAGACGATAGAAGAATGGATACCTCTGGGAGAATATAGACTAGGATGAGGCAAAGGGAGACTTTTGGGGTGCTGGAAATGTACTGTATCTTCATCTGGCTTGTGGATACATGGAGATATATATATACATTATGTATATATTTGTATACATAACATATATATATATATATGTAAAAATTTATCAAGCTATGCAGTTAAGATTTGTGAACTTCACTACATGACACTTCAAAAATAATTAAAAATGAAAAAGAGCATAAAATAAGTAAAAGATTGAAAGACAAGACAAAATGATAATGATGAATATATATAAGTAACATGATGATGTCAACATACTTACTTCATCTCCCTCATCAATTAATCCTTGAATAGCATTAAAAAGAGATCCATATGCTCCTACTGTCACAAGGATTTCTTTATTTGGATCAATTTGCTTTTGATACAACTTTCCATATAGGCAGGAGAGAGCTTTCACGAGTGATGGATGACCCTGTTGAATAAAAAGGAAGAACAAAACCTTGAATTATGGGACCTACTTCTTTGAGATGATTTGGCTCTCAAATGTAAGAATTTTTAAAATTTGGATTTTATAATTATCCAAAGGAAATTAGAATTTTGGTTTTTAAGAAATTTTATTGGGGAACAATGTGTTTTTCCAGGACCCACCAACTTCAAGTCAAGTAGCTGTCCTCAGTCTGGTGTGGAGGATGCAGCTCAGTGGCCCATGTGGGAATGGAACCAGCAACCTTGGTTGTATGAGCCTGTGCTCTAACCACCTGAGCTAACAGGCTGTCCTGAAAATTAGCATTTTTAATTGGCAATAAATTACAAAGAACTTTTTCCTACCTTCAGAGGGTTTCTACATGAACGGTCATGAAGACTTGCTAACGAATAAAAAATTCCTATTAAATGATTGGTTTTAGAATACAAAATTTCAAGGTATTGGCTTTGAATAAAAATGGACTTCAACACCAAATATATTTTAGACAGTACACTTTGATAGTATTTAGATCACATTTAATTACTTTATTTTCACTGTAATTAAATCACGTTGAATAGAGTTGGATATTTTTCCCAGTTAGAAATCAGCCAAAAAACCTGCATTAACTGCATACACTTTGACTCTATTCTTCTAAGTTGCTGGAGGTTATGCCAACCGATGCGTTATGGAGACAGGGCAAAAACAAATTCACCAAAGAAACACACATTAGTGTTGCTGTGCCAGCAAACGTTAGGAAGAAATGGAACACTATGCACATGGACAGCCAAAAGAGCAGAAGTGATGTAGGAAAACAACTTTCACACAAGGAATGAAGGGATTGTAAAGGCACAAAGTCTGAGATGTGGGGGGCCTGTGACCCCTTGATTATAGCTCCTTCTCAATCTTCTCTCCTGTGTTCTGTTCCCTTCTCTCCTTTTGTTTCTTTTCCTTCCCTTTCCCTTTCCTTGTCTTTTTTGGTATTGAAGTCTATATATATATATATATATATATATAAATTTTTTTTTTCCCTGTCCAGCATCTATTTTCTCTTTCTGCTTTTGGGGAAATCACCTTGATTTTCTGTCACTTGTGAGTTGGCATCCGAGGGCAGGTCATATGCCTTTGTTTGGAAAGCACCTGGGCTTTGGAGGAATAAACTGTGTCAGGATGCAGGTGAAGAGAAAGGCGGGTTGGATCTAGCCCAGCTTTGTGAGGTTAAAGGGTCTTAGGCTCCTCCGAAGTTGTCCAGCCCAGTTTATATGAAGAAAAGGAGGTATTTTTTTTTTTTTGTCAAGGATGCATTTATTTGTCACCTTTTTATTCCTTTCAGAATATTGGCTAGTATGTCTCAGACCTTTACTGAGTTAAAATCAATAAAAACAAAGCTGTAGCACATTTTTTATATTTTGAAATTAGGCAATATTACAATATTAGACACATTGGGTATAATTAATAATAGAGGAGGTGACAGAACATAGCTAGTAAACTAAAAAATAATAGGAAGAGAAAAAGACCACATAAAGTCAAGCTCAAAAAATATACATGAATTGTGAAAGGAGCAAGAGAAGTTTGTCACCACTCCTAGAAATCCAAAATTTCCTTTTAATTTCATTTTAATACCAGTTCTCACAAATTCTAGCAAAGGGTGACCTAAAAGCAATTACAAACACTGAACAACTTTCCTTAGAATAATAAGGGTATGTGTTTTTAAAATTTTTTAATTACAAAAATAATTCATGCTTCATATAATTAAACGAGGCAAAGACCTATGAAAAACATTATGATTTCTCCTCAACATCACCTCCTTTCCATTCCTGAGGTGACCAATGTCCTTAGCCTGGTGATAGTGCAACACCATTCCCAGTGCTTATACCAATATAAAAACAAATCTACATAAACACTCACATATATTTCCAAAAACTAGAAAATATGTAAATGAATGGGCATGGTCATGTTCTACTCACACTTTATTTACAAAATCAGGAGTGGGTCAGAGTCAGCCACAGGTCAGAGCTTGGCAAACTCTGCTATGAATCAATTTAGGGGGAATGGTCATCAGAACAATATTTAGCCTTCCAATCCATGAACATTATATTATCACCCCATTTATTCAGGTATTATTTAATTTCTTTTAGCAATGTCACGTAGTTTTCAGTGTACAGATTTTACATATATTTTAAAAGTTCAGTTCTAAATATTTTATGTTTGTGGATGCTATTGTAAATGGTATGTAAAAAGTTTTTACTTTCCAAGTGTTCCTTTTTAGTCTATAGAAATACAATTGATTTTTGCATATTGGTCTTGTGTATGTAACCTTGCTCAATTCACTTAGTAGTTTGTGGTAGTTTTTTGGTAGAATCTAGGAAATCTGTGGCTCTCCTGGGCATTTAATCACAGAAGGATGGGGGCTGGGCTGAGGTAGAGGGGAAGAAAGCAACTAGTTGGAAATAGAGGCTATTCATTAAGAGACCAGTGCCGAGGCTGCAGAAGTGTTAATGGGAAAGAAACATGTTTCAGGAGACTCTTCTTTCTCCCTTGTTGCCACAGGACCACCCAGGAACAACAGTAAAGGAAGACCCAAGACAGGGCTGTGGAAGGGCTGGAAGCAGGGATGGCTCATCCCGGGAGATGAGGGAAAGGGGTTGGAGCTCCTCTGGTTGTCAGGCTGGGACAGTTGGTCCCAGAAAGCTGATTACATAGAAGTGATAGAAGTACATTCATACACAGTACATACAGAACACAGGCTCCCGCCCCACACGGCTCTCCTGTACTTACGAAGCCCCGTGTATACTGATTCAATCTATCCGTTGCTGCAATCTTCGATAATTCTTCCTTTACATATAGAGGAGGCGATATATCTGGAAGGCCTTGGCCAAGATTCACAACAGAGGGGTCTGCAGTCAACTTGGTAAATTCAATCCTAAGATTAGAAAAATACTAATATTAATAACACTATAATTACACAGTTAACATTTTATACCCAATAGTCTTATTATGAAATTGAAAAACAAGACCTAGTTTAGTCTAAGAGATTAAAAAAAATGAGATCCTAATAAAACTTTTACCATCTACAAAACTACTTTACTTCATAAAATGATGGCTGAATTAATGAACTTAATGTTTCTTACAAATCTCAATTCAATGAAATCCATATTTTAATCATGTATATACACATATACATATATGTATATGTATATATATATATATATATATATATATATATATTTGTAATCATATCAGCCACTGCTAGGTTCTCTTATCAACTGTTAGAGAGTAGAGCTAATAAGAAAATTTCACGGATAAGAAGGCAAGTTCCATGAGGTCATCAACCAAATTTGTCTTTTCTCTGCCCATTTCCAGTGCCTAACAGAGGGCTCAATACATTTGCTAAATGAATAAATCAGTGCATGGATTGTAAACTTCCATTTCCATTTAATGGATAAATTAAAATAAGTTGATTTATTTATAGACCATATATAAGGCTAAAAATTCCCAAGGATATAAAAATGTGTAGAAAAAGAAATTCCCAAATTACAATATTATTGTTCATTCTAAGGTACTCACCACACATTACTATCAAGGCCTTCGA